GACAACTGGAGCGCGTAGAGATGCGTCTTGGTCGCCTCAACGTGCAGACCGTGCTCGGCGATGAGGGTTTTCTTCATGCGCTTGAGCCAGCCGTACCACATGGCGCCATGGTTGCCGTCCGGCGCATCGGTCATCTGGGCTAGCAGCGCGGTAGCCTCGTCGGTGATCATGTCGGCAATACCCGGGTGCTTCAAAAGCTCGCGCGGCAGCCTCCAGTACCCGCGTGCTGGCGACGGCGCGGCACGAGACAAGGTAACCTTGTGGCGCAAGTGGTCGCTGCCGTGGCCGTTGGCCGCGTACCCAGCCGTGGCGCAGAGCACGGTCGCGAGCTCGACATCGACAAAGATGTAGTCCAGACGGTTGACGCGGTGCGGGCCACTGAAGATCCGTGACGCTGGGTGTTGAGTGCGCCAGACGTCGACCACACGCAGCGCTGTGAGCCATTCGACACAGGCGACCTTGCCGCGCCCGACGTTCCGGTCCGGCACGGCGTTGGACGAGTCGAGCTTCGAGTTGAGGTACAGATTGAAGTCGCCGCCGACAAAATGGAGGCTCGTCTCCTCAAAGTCGCGCGGGAGCTGGCTGTAAAACGCGCCGCGCTCTTCCGGCCGCACGGGCGCGTAGACGTTGTGGACGTATACCGGCCGACCGTCCCACTCGGTGCGGACGACCAGATACCGGCCCGGGACATCGAGATCCGCGAGGTGGCGAAGCCCGTCGTAGCCCGGCCACGACTCGTGAAAGTAGCTGGCAACGCCACTGCTGCGCGACTGGGACGGGACCAGAGCGTGCATACGGTGGTCCGAGATAAATAATTTCGACTTGAGGAGGCCCACTTCATTCTCGAGGTGGTACTCGAACGTGTCGAGCTGCTGCGCGTGCGAGAGACGAGTCTCTTGCATGAGGAAGCACGGGTCGGGGTGCGGAGCTCCTTGGCGACGCCATGTCCGTTGTCGCGTAGGCCGTTGAGATTGATGGTGGTGACAGAGAGGCTCGGCGTCGGGCCGAGCACGTCCGGTGAGAGGACTTTAGTACTGACTGCCGTCGCCCGGCCACCCATGATGTCGCCCTCGGCGTAGAGGTCGGCCTCAATCAAGAAGACGTCGTCGAGGTCGAGCATCGTCTGCTTCCGGTCCGACAAGACGAGGTCCGACTCATCGTGCAGGCCCTTGGCATGCACAAACGCGCGGCGGAAGGGGGATGCGTCGTCAAACCACTGCAGCGCAATAGTGCGCAAGTGCGTACCGAGCGCCGTGGTATGCAGCAGCGCCATCAGAGTCGCGGTCGAAAGAAGGCGTGTACTGTGCCCCGTGGCGATCGCACCGAGACCCGTGCCAAGCAGCGCCATAAGAGCCGCATCCGAGGAGAAGAACTCGGGAGCGTGGGTCATGAGGAGCAGCTCGGTCACGGCGGCCGTCATCTCGAGGTGGATTGCAGTGAACGGGTGCTCCATACCCGCGTCATCACTGTACGTGCGCGTCGTCGTGCGCTCGGTGAACGATCCGGCAGCAAACATGGCTTCCAGCGCGTCCCACTTGGTCTGGACGCCCTCGAGGATCGTTGTGAAAGCGTTCACGAAGCCTGGGCCGCCGCCGTGCGCCGCCGCAGCCATACGGTGCAGGACCCACATACGGGCGAGGTGGACAAACTCGCTGGGGTGGAGGTCGTGGATCCGGCGAAGAATCGTGGCGCAACGGAGAGGTTGAGTCACGAGATGGCCGCAGATGGTTTCAATCTTGGACGACTGGATGTAGCCGCGGAAATCTGCGACGGGCAACGTCGCGGTGCTCTCCAGCGCCACGACGCTACGCGCCCGTTCCTCGGCAAGCTTCGCGTCGGCCGCGGCAAACTCGGCAAGGAGAGCATCAAGCGGTACCGACGTGACCCTCGGGACAAGAGCGTCAACCTTGGCCGTCAAGACGACAAGATCCGTCGTGTCGCGGGTCGGAAACTCGGCGCGCGGGACGACCGAGAGACGGACGTTGGTCGGGACGGAAGCACCCGACGCCGTCTTGTAGGCGCCGTTGGTCTAATGGTTAGGATCCATCTCTTCCAAAGATGGGGTCGGGGTTCAATTCCCCGGCGGCGCATACCACTTTTGGTATTTTTGTCTTGGCAGACGAGCATGGCGTTAACTTTTGCACTGAAACATGTCGATTTGTAAGTGCAAGCTATTGTGAATTTCACTCGGAATGCCGGTCGGATCAAAGGGCTAATTCGATCTGGTGTAATTCGAAAATCGAGATCCGGACGGCATAATTCTGCATGTTGCACTTGATTTTCTTTGGTGTTTACGGCGTAAATTGAGGTCCCAACGCCGTAATTGTGGATCGTCTCTAACTAATTACATTTCTTCACGCACCTCGTCGAGTTACTGGTGGAGGCCTCTAAAGGTGCCCAAACACCAAAGAAAATCAAGTGCAACATGCAGAATTATGCCGTCCGGATCTCGATTTTCGAATTACACCAGATCGAATTAGCCCTTTGATCCGACCGGCATTCCGAGTGAAATTCACAATAGCTTGCACTTACAAATCGACATGTTTCAGTGCAAAAGTTAACGCCATGCTCGTCTGCCAAGACAAAAATACCAAAAGTGGTATGCGCCGCCGGGGAATTGAACCCCGACCCCATCTTTGGAAGAGATGGATCCTAACCATTAGACCAACGGCGCCCCGTCGGGACTTCTTGTTCTACAAGCCTAACAAGCTGACGTTCTGGCTCAACCTCCCGCACCTGCACTCGCTCTGGGAAGACGTCTGGCTCGCGTGGTCCTCGACACCGATGTCCAAGCGCCTCGAGATCCCGCCCAACTACGCTACCACGATGCAGCTGCCTGTCTGGCTCACGGAGTACGAGCCCCTGCGGTCCAA